TGTGTGTGTGTGTGTGTGTGTGTGTGTGTGTGTGTGTGTGTGTGTGTTGGAAGGCGAAAGGGAACAAAATTGTTCAGTTGATTGAGCACATGATACAGATGATATACATGCCTTTTTTATGCACTGGTGCATCATCATGGCTGTTGTATCATCTCACACGGGGTGATTTCACAAGTACTGTCTCAACACAGTGGCTGGCTGTACTACGGCACAACTCAGACTGATGATTCACAAAGGATGAGTCCATCATGAGTCTAATTTATGAGTAAGGGTCATCCTCTTACCCAAATCTCAGGACTGACCCACTGTGCTATGATGTCATCCTCAGTAGTTCACGGTACACCAATTAACTTTGCCTTAAAGTGGGCGGGCACAGTGTATGTTTGTGTGTCTGTGCAAGATCAAGCTGTGCAACAATAGATTACTTGTCACAGGGGTGGCTACGTATACATAACAATGTGCTAAAAGACTGAGGCTATTGATACAAATGGTTGGTTTGGTTTCATAATATATTAAGGTAACCAATTAGAGGAGTATAGGGAAGCCTGGAATCATAATTCCTCTCTAAATACGTTAAACTGTGGTGATCGGGAGCCTTAAAACAGCCGAATTAGATATAAGAAAAACGAATGAAACTCAATGAAGTGTAACAAATGTAACACAAGGCTGTTTGGTTCGCCTTACAAAAACTATTAGCAAAAGTGGCATTTAGTTCCGAATACCAATTTACTGTAGTTAATTAATCGATTAGTTAAGTGACAGAAAATATCTGGCCAACAATTTTGATAATTGATTGTTTATCATTCATCGAGTAAAATGCCAAATATATGCTAGTTTCCAGTTTATCAAATGTGAGGACTTGCTGCTTTTCTCAGTTTTGTATCACAGTAAAAACGAAAACAAACAAGAACAAAACAAGCAATTTTAAGATGTCACATTGGGACCTGGGGTATTGTGATGGTATTTTTTCCACCATTTTCTGACATTTTATATATTCAATGGTTAATGTCTTCCTCCGGCTAAAATGTGTGTGTGTTTCCTGCTATTTTTGTAAATGTAGCCTGGAAATAAAGTCAAACTGGTACATGTGTAGTTTGCATATTACAGCCCAAATGAATTGGCAAATGATCTGGGAGTCAAAGCCGTCATGCATATGTTGGCCATTGTAAAAGTAGATATGTGCTACCTATTATTAGGTTTGCCTTAAGAAGGCATGGAATATAATTGTTATTCTGATTAGTGCAGACATGTTTTGTATTGTAAATTAATTAAATATTGGGAGTGGAACCCTAATCTCTAAACACCGGATGAACATTATTTATTTTCATTGGGAACTTGAGTGAGATGGGCCATAAATAGTCTGTAGTTATGCAAATACAGCAAAGCCTCCTGTGAATAAAATTAAAAAAAAGAAACCATTTTTATTGTCATATACACACAAAATTTGCCTTCTGCATTTGACCCATCCCTGTATATAGGGAGTAGCGGGCTGCCAATGACAGGCACCCGGGTTCAGTGTATTGCTCAGGGACACTACGACACGTGACACGTCCCAGTCGAGGATCGAACTATTGACCCTGCGGTTACCAGACAACCCTCTTAACCCAGTGAGCCACGGTCATCCCCACCACAGGATTAACCGATTTTGACAGCAGGATTGGCAAAGTTCAATTTCAGTTCTTTCTCCCACTGTTTGTCTTTCTCTGTGTCACATTTTGTGTTACTACTTCATTGGACTATCATCTTGTTAATGTGTTATTGTTTTTGACAGATTGCTGCACAATTTTCAGTTAATGCAGGAGCATAAGCACACACATACTAACACCAAAGGAAAACTGGGAGATGCCGATTGGTTGGCCACAGCTGCTGACAGATATCACAAGAGACTTGTCAGGTCAAAGATCTGTTTTTCAGCACTGAAATCACTCAATTCCTTGTGACAAGGGGACACGAGGCTGAGGAATAAAATGACAATTCTTTTAAACGCTTCTAGAGATGGCGCCGTCTGGTGTGTAGTATCAACTTAAACAAAGATCTCAGTGTCATGATGTCTATTTGGTTTGGGGGTGAATCAGAGCACCAATTAAACTTTTGCAAAACAATGACATGTTTCATAATAACTATCACAAATTGCTCTGCAACTGGTGGCATCTGTCAACCCTGAACCCTTATATCTGTCATTCTGATATTCTCGAATATCTCATATGATTGAAAGTTTTATGTCTGGCGGTCTCTCTTCACCCTCTCTGAAAAACTCATTTAATTTGATGTTATTTTTGGTACATAATGTGTTTATATCTATCTGTCATTTAATTTGGAATTTGAAATCTGTAGTTTAATTCTACTAAAGCCGGATGTTGCAATGTTATAAGATGATAATATGTCCGAGTTTACAGCTTATTGTGCTGCTGTCAAAGTGCCCAAAAATCAATGAATGCAACTTTGAACCTTGTAGTGACTCTGATCCTGAATTGTGTAGAAATGTGAAATAAAACACTCAA